CATTCACCGAGTTATAAAGGGAATAGAGGTGTGGTTGTGTTCTACTTAGATAAGAAATATACAGAGGTTAAAGAGGTAAATAAAGTCGAGAGATTACAAGAGGAAAATGCATAAAGGGCTCTTCTTGCAGATTTCTTTATTTTTTGTTTTGCAGATTTTATAAACTATAGGATAAAAGAAACTTGAATAAAGCTTCGAACAGTCCATATATATCAAGAAGTTTCTTGAAATAAATGTAAAACACATTACACGTGAGTTTTAATGTAAATCGGACGCGAGGAACTGTTTCAAGACGAAAAACTGACCCCTGATTTTCAAACGTACAAAATGCCTTGTCCTTTAATTTACTAATCCATATAATCAAAATGTAACTCAAATTTTTTGACAATCTTAGTAGTGCCTACTTTATTAATTTTGTTTTTCGCGAATCTGAATATCAGTCCTTCAAGCCTGCGTTAGCAGGCTCAACGAAACAGTTGAAGTGTGTTGCCTACCGCAAAACTGTTTGCCTGTTATAATTTCATATTCTAGAAACTCAGAAAGCTCTCACCTGCCCATTTCCATATTATCTCAACAATTAAATCACGCGACGGCACGTTTCTCGAAAATACACGCACACGATCCTCACGTGCAAAGGTTGAAAAACGTTGCATAACACACGTGCATGAAACGAGGTCAACTACCACTTAACCTTGATACTGCGACACCTGACTGCTCCACATCCGCTGTTTTATTCCATTTTCATTACTTTTTTGCTCAAAACACATAGTAAGAGGACCCACGTAAGGTGTGGGGAGGAAATGATTAATGTATTTTGTTTTTGATGCTCCGATACCTAAAAGAGTGTCATGGATGTTTATAAACATCGTCTTAGTTCATTTTTGTTTTGCCACAAAATAACAGTTACGTATATAACGCTATTACGACTTCCAAACCCAGTGGAGGCTCCCAAAACGTAAGGAATGCTACTCTTTTTCGCCTTTGCAACTGATTCGAAAGAAAAATGTTCCGCAACCGCCGCCATCTGCGTCAGCCTAATAAAACTTGCATGCAATTGTGCATTGTGCAGTAGTTTTAAATTCACGTGGGAAAATGTTTGTAAACTGCGAAACTAGGAAATATAACTTAATAAAAGTTGCAGCCCACGAGATATCTTTTTAACTCTTGTCAGCAGATCCAAAACTAATTGTAAGTTTAAATTCTCGCATCGACACTGACAGCAGTGAAAGACGTTTAGTGCATTGCCAAAGTTGTACCTCGCAAGCTAAGCGATAAATTTGACGACGAGTGAAGTCCTTAAATCAGTAAGTCGCTAGTATTTTGGAGTCTCTTGTAACTCAAACCTTGTATGGCCTGGAAGTTCTTGCCTATCTTTCCAAGTCAGCTGTGTTTTAATCTCTGTTGTTCATTGATAAATAAGTCGAATGGTGCCCTGCATGCGTTTGAATTAGTATACCGTAACTCAGTTTTCATGAATCGTGCTGGTACAAAATTAAGATATCTGTAAACCAACGGACTTCTTATTTCTCAGCTTTTCAGCTGTAACGGATGCTCTTATAATATTAGCCCTGAGAATCACCTGAAATCGCGCGACCTCGTTCGTACCAGTTACACTAGCAAGCGTTAAAATATACCGCTCGTTATCTGTGAAAACCACAATGAATTTTTCAGTTACGGTACATATACTCGTGGTTGAATGTAAGCTTAATCGTTCAGTTTCAGTAGCCTGTAAAAATTCATATCCCATTTCTGTCATGTCTGTCATGAGCTAGTCTTTCAGTTGTGAACAGCTATTTTTTCGTTTAGAAGAGAAAAATGAAAGAAGACTGTTTCCAAACTGAATTTGCTGAATTAATGAAATCTGAATTACACTTTGATCCTTCGAACAGAGTTTTAATTCAATAGGTCCTGTAAAAAAGCTTTTTCAAATAAATCGTCACTTGTATTGCAGTTTGAAAGCGACAGACCGTTTAGTTTAATTTGGCTCGCCTCTCATTCAGAAAATTAAGTTAATCATGATCAGTATTTGCAAGCTCCCACCATCAGGCCAAAAGTTCGCAAGCCGCCATCTAAACGGGATAAAAATGTTGTCCTTTACTGAGCTATATATTCAAACGTTTACTGTCAATATATTTGTATGTATCATTGCAGTGTTTGTTGTTTGAAGTTTTCACTCCAATCTCAACCTGAGTCACTGACCCCCGTTTGAGTAGGTCCATTGACGCGGTTACCGTCAACGCGTTTCACTCCGAAAAATTGTTTTCCTCTTAGTTTCTCGTACATTTTAGAAGCCCAGGAAACTAATGAATGCGGGTCCATTGTTCCAATTTGCATTGCCATATGTTTCTAGAGGTAAATGTTTATTGTAGTTGTTACAAAAGTGGGTAATTGACAGACAATGAAACCACAAAAACACTCGACCGACCATTTCACGACCAGCACGTTTCTTGAAACAACACGCACACGAATATCACGTGCGGAGCGTTTAGTGCTTTACGCAACACACGTGAATGAAGCACGATGAAGTATCGTCTAAACTTCCGATCTATTGCGTTACATAGACAATTTACATCCACTGATTTATTGTTTTTTTGTTGTTGTTGTTTTGTTTTGTTTTTAAACACACCGAAAAAATGACCAAAACTAGCTGCGGGGAGGAAATGACCAACGTTTTAAAGCAATTAAGAGGTCCATTCTCTTTTGATGTTCCAATACTCAAACAATTGTTATAAAAAATTCTGCTAAGTTAAATTTGGTGCACCACAAAATAATAGTTACATAATACTATTGACTTTAAAACACAGTGCAATCCACTCGAGGTTCCGGAGACGTTGTGAAATTCGACTCTCTTTAACGTTTGCAACTGATTTGAAGTAACTTGATTAAAAATAGGTAGTATGAATAAAACCAACAAAACCTCGGATGCAATGCTAGAGCTATGTTATAAATTTACTCGGGCAAGTAAAACTTTAACACCGCTAAACTTGGGCCGAAAAAGGTGTAACCTACGAGGTGTTTTATTAGGGTAATCCAAATCCGAAACTAATTTTGAATTGAAATTCTTGGCTCAATACACCAGTGAAAATTTGCAACGTTGTATTTCGCTGGACAGTTGATTCCCCCAGCCTTCGAGCGCTAAACACCGAATGACTCTTTCAAGAAATGTTGACAATGTGTGAATTCGTTGAACTGGTAACTTTTATAAGTCACATGTACATGTATTTTGGAGTCTCTTGTAACTTACAGCTTGGTTGGAAAGTTCTTTCACTTGTTTCGAGTTCCCGTGTCTAAATGTAAAACCGATATTACAATTGTGAAACGTTCGTTGGTTCGCGAAAATCCGATATTCATTTTCGTTAAACTGGGACTAAGATTCACGTAACCGGCGAGATAGATGTTTCATTATGGTAGACCAGATTCGAAACTAATTCTGAATTAAAGTTCTCGCCTCAATATGGCAGCGAAAATTTGCAACGCCGTATTACGCTGCACAGTTGAATTTGCAATCTTTAAAGAGTTAAACATATTACCGAACGAGTGAACGACTCTGAACTGGTTTTAAACAGAGGCAACGCGTATTTTGGGGTCTTACGTAACTCACAGCTAGCCTGGAAATTTCTTCCAGTTGTTTCGCATTCCTGTGCCTAAAAATTAAGAGTGATATTACAGCTGTGAAAGGAACGAAACGTTCGTTGGTTTGCAAAAATCCGAGATTCATTTTGCAGCAGAGCAAGTCTATTCTAAAAACAAGACACGTCTTCGGCATATTAAGAGATGTTTCTGTGAAATTCATCTAAGCTGGCAACATTTAAGATTTGTGCTTTATTACTGATTACATAACTCGAATATTATTTGTCACTTGCTGGTCAGCCAGGGCACGTTGGGCGATTTCAGGAAATGTTCTGAGAAGGCTAATAAAGACCAAAAAAAGTAGCTCATACAAATTCAGGAACTGTTTCCAGTGGCATGGGAAGAAACGTTTGTAATAATATGAAAAGTCCTGGAAATTCTTTTACTACTCGTACAGCAAAGCAGGAGGTGTCAGACAATGTTACGTAATCTACTGAAATACGACGTTACTTTCTTTGCACCACGATTAAAAAACTCTTTCTTTACTTTTCTTTGTATGCTTTAAACTGATGCAATGCTAGACTACCTGATTCGTAAAATTAATGTTTGAACGTCAACGGCAACGTTTGAGCTGCTAAATCTATCAACACTGTTTTGATTCAAGTAAAATAAATGAAGTGAAATAAGTGAAAGCTGCGGTAACTATTAAAATGTTGAATGTTGTTCTGTTCGAGGCCGGTATATATGTACTGATTTATCAAAATCGTTAGGTGAGTGTCTACGTTTTTATTGGTTTTCCTACATAAGTATGTGGTGGTAAATCAATATTTGAAAACTTTGGTCTTTCTGCTGATTTTCTTAACTTTACATTTGTTTTCATTCAACTTTGAGCTATATTTTAGGATGCTTGAGTTTATGAGAAAAAATAAGCAAAGCCAAACCAAGAAAGTTAGAATTTAAACTTGTCTTAATACAATATTTTGGCACGCCGTTGACATGCTTGTGTAAACGTAGCTACAGTAGTTACAGGTTTCATCACGGAAATTTCAGCCATAAAGTAAGTGTTTCAGCTTGGGTAGTAAGTTTAGCTTCCCTGACTTTACGAATACAGCAAGAATTAATAGAGTAAACAAGTTAAATTCTTCTTTGTGTTGGCTTTGCTTAATTTTTCTTGTATATCTTAAGCCAGCTTGATCAATCTCTGATCTGAAGTATACAGGCAGGATCATTGTCCTCTGCTTCTTGCTATCTCTTCTTGCTTGAAGTTTTAAATTATTTCGATCAATTCCTGGATTCACTGACTTTTAATGAACTGAAAGGGCGCTCGCCTCCTCTGTTCTGGGTCTAACAATGATATTTTTTTGTGGTTTAACAAATAGATTCCATGTTGCCGTGCGTCTGTTCAGTAATTGATCCCAGAAGACAACAAAATGTGGTAGGAACGTCAGTGACACACTCGCCTAACGGATCGCGTGTGTCACTCTTTTGTATTTCTTCCATGACTTATTGGGTAAATTTCTTTATTCTCATGGTGGAAATCGCAGAGAAAAATGCAATGCAGATTTGCTAAAAACTTTAGTAGGACTTGTACGTGAAAATTTGGCTAGAACTGAATGAATCTTCACACAAGCCGTGTGGACGATTTGTACCACATGGTTACAAAATGGCGGAATGTCGGTTTTATAGTTTTCCAGCGCTATTGTCTGAAAGACACTTTCCAAGTTGAAATCAGCGTTTCTAAACTAGTTTCTAAACTAATTTCTAGAAGTAACTGATCTATTGACTGAAATATGAGTTCTTGCCTCGAATAGGTCTATCGAAGAGCTCACGTTTGTTACGTAACGTGTATAAACTTCTGCACGTGAGATTTGTGGGCGTGTATCTGAGGGAAACGTGCGGTGCATCAAATAGCAAGTGGGTTAAATGTTCCTGCCGATACAGTTCTGCTCTCTATAGACTTTATCATGTCGTTAGTTTGATTTATAGTTCTTTTGAGGCGTAATTATTTAGTTAATGAATTCCATTCGTCGAAACCTATTCGAAACTCCTAAAACTCTTTACCGCCTGTAGTTTGCTTTGTAAAAGCCTAAGAATGGCGTCGAGGCTACCGAAAACGTGCTGTGTCCATTCATCACGGCTGGTGCATTAAACTCAACAAAGCCATTTCTTGATTTGGGGAAAATAAAGCAACACATTTCCAAATGTTTATTTTTTAACACTCGTCATCGTCGTGTTTGAATCGATAATTGCGGTTGTGTTCGCGATTTTATCAATAATTGGAAACACGTTGATTATCGCAGGGTTTTGGAAAAGCAAGACATTAAGAACTATTCCAAATCGGTTAGTGGTGAATCTATCGATTGTCGATGTACTTTCTGCCATAACAACACACCCTTTACTTGCGTCGGTAGTGATTGAAGGGGCTTGGCGATTTGGAGACGAAGCTTGTAAATACCAAGCGATTTTAAACTCTTTTCTATTCATAACGTCACATTTTAGCATAGCTCTGATAACCCTTAATCGGTATTTCGTTATTGTTCGTTACAAAAAATATACCGAAGTCTTTACCAAACGTTTAACACGTGTTTTTGTAGCCGCCATTTGGGTCTTTTCATCGTTTCTTGCTTCCACGCACTTCGCGGCGCAAGACAAAGCGAAATTTCACGCCAAAGAAGCCTTTTGTATTATTTCCAAGGAGAAGTCTTCAATTGCGTCGCTCATAATAACTGCGTTTGGAAATATCGCTTTTCTTACAACAGTTTTCTTGAATTTTGCGATTCTGAAACTGGTTCGCTTGCATCGGAGTAGAGTATCTGTTTCTTTCAATAGAAACTCCTTCTTCGCGAAAGTTGCTAGACGCGAGGCACAGGGGAACGCCGGAAAATCGTGCGCGATTAAGAAGCAAGGAATCCTGGCGAATAAAAACGAAGAATTCTACATCGCAAGAAAGGTTGTCATCGTGACAAGCTTGTACACTTTATGTTGGCTTCCTCAAGGAATAATAAAAAACGCCAGCCTGGCAAATCAGGATTTCTCACGGGAGATCTGGATGGCATCTACATTCTGTATGCAGCTGAGTTCTGTCTTAAATCCAGTGCTTTACGGATTTCTCAACAGAAAAGTGAAGAAAGCCGTTTTTGGTATGTTGGGAATTGGAGTTTGCAAACGAATTCATGTCACTACGACAGATCGAGAAATTACTTCAAGACAGCTGAGATTGAAAAACACTTTCACTGTGATTCAGGCCCTCGATCAAGTTAAGTGCAACGACGTCGTCCCTGTACGCCTGGAGTGAAGCGAAATGAAATGAAATGAGTTTATTTTTAGACCAAGCCGCGGCAAAACGGATCAAAGAGGAAGAAACAAAGTTTGGAACAGTTAAAATCATTTTGAAATTAAAAAAATAGCTTGAAGGCCTCACACATGTAGCGTCAGTGTTAGCAGGATACTAAAAATTTCCAAAACAACTTCAGAACTAAAGAAAAATAAAATGTAGCGGAACTGCACATACAACCGTTAATTATTCAAAACAAGGATATTGAAAATCAAAATGCGTTAAAACAGCTCAGTAAAACATAGGAAATGCAAACAGTAAACAACGTAATTAAACACAAATAATATAAGAATGTACCGGTAGTACAATACAGCAACGGAACATTAAACAATGAATGGGGCTGGACTCGTATCATATAATGTGCCTGACGCCAAGTGTACCGAAATCACCACGTGAGGATTATACACGTGCATAATCTTGTAGAACGCTTTCACTCACGTGGCTAGCACTCGTGCAAATTTATTGGAATGATAGGAAGCGTTTATATAAGAAAAGAGTTCCACTCCAACAGGATTGGTTTGGTACACCGACATGGCCGCCATTTTAAACCGTGACGGCAAATGCTACCAGAACGCCATCAAACAAAACGATTAATGAATAGGACAATGGTTGCGGCCTCACCAAGAGAGTTAACTGGGTTTATTTTTTAGAAACCTAGTTAAAATTGATCTTATTGCTTGGTTACACCTTGCATAGATTCATTGCTCTTTTTAAAATACTGAAAATCTGGAAGCCTAAGAACAAGGTTGTTTACAAAGTCGAAAGTTATGGAAGAACTGAATCGAAGCATACGGGTCACGAGTCACATACAAGAAATGGAAAACTTTCACGTGAATTGACCTTTTCCGGGTTACCTTGTGCCTCTGCTTCAAAACGAGTCTTTCATTTGAAAATGAATTTGATTTACATGAGAATAAACCTTTCGGCCGAATACATTCTCAAATGAATGGTTTCGCACGGAGACTCGTTTCGAAACAGAGGCAAAAGAAAACTCGGGCATGGCCTAATTGCGGCCTCGCCCCAGTCTGCCCGGTTCAGTAGGTCTTAGTACGGGCAAAACGGCTCATACAAATCTTTCTTAGGAAGCGGCTTAGATTTATAGTGCGTTCTGGACGTAATTAGGACGTTTTGTGTCACCAAAGCGGAAACGTTAAACCTCTATTTCAGCCTGTATTTTCTTTTGTATCGAAAACACATCGAAAATGAAATTGTTCACACTAATTCATTTTCGCAAAATGATATTTTTCGTTTTTTAACTAGATGTGTTAAATGGAAACAACCCTGTTTTTTCTTGTTTCTTAAACGGGTCTTTTAAACATTGCCACCATTTATAGAGAGTGAGGTTCTATAAGATATAACATGAGGAAATAATTTCAACTCTAAATAACACTCACAATACGGCGAGATTAGAATCCGGCTAGCCTTCATTAAAAGCCTACGTGGGAGACATTAAACATATATATGTATCCGTCTGAAAGTGCTTATAAATTAAAACGTCTCAAACGAAGGTACACCTTGCGAGCGACAAGAGCAAAACACAAACCTTCTTTATTCTAAAGGTAGTCAGTGTATAAATTTGGTGAGAACACACGCGTGCAACTGTGCCTGAGCCTGTAAAAACTACATGAGGTTATTTGGATGGAACAGGCGGGGAAACAGATCCAGAGAAAATGAATTATTCCAGAAAATATACAACTTCTCTCTTCCACGGCGCAAAGTCTCTGCAACCGGGAAATCTATAGTGTGCAGCACGGAGTGACAAATGCACCAACGTCGTACGCTGCTTAGCAAATAACAAAACGAGGAAAAACCTCACATAACAAGTCGCGGTTTTGTAAATCCCAGGAACGAACAAAAAAGGCAACGAAAAGCTTGAGGATGGAAAAAACTGCTGGGGGATTCGACCTGCCATATCGATCTCCCGGGACCGCCGCGTTGGAGTCAATAATTGTTGTCCTGTTCACGATTTTATCAATACTTGAAAACACTTTGATTATCGCGGCGTTTTTCCATCTCAAGTCATTAAGAACTATTCCAAATATACTCGTGGTCAATTTATCGATCGTGGATGTCCTTTCTGCCATAACGACACACCCTCTGCTAGCATCGGTGCTGATTCAGGGAGCTTGGTGCTTGGGACAAGAAGCTTGTAAATACCAAGCGATTTTAAACTCTTTTCTATTCACAACCAAAACTCTAAGTGTAACCTTCATAACTTTAAACCGATACCTGATCATCGTCAGATACAAAAAGTACACCAACATGTTTACTAAACGCTCAACTCGCTTGTTTCTGGTGGCGATTTGGATCTCATCGTGTCTCCTCGCCTTATCTCCGATAATGGAACAAGACGAAGCGACATTTCACGCTAAAGAATCCCTTTGTGTCATTTCAAGCAAGAATTCGGCAAGTTCTGTAGTTATGGTTGTATTTGAGAACATTTTCTTCCTTGCAACGATCTATCTTAACTACGCGATTTTAAGCTTAGTCCGCTTACATCGAAAACAAGTTTTTTCCTTCTTCGATAAAAAGACTTCCCCTTCAACTTCAAGAGTGACTCCCGCGAGCGCGGCGCTGACAAGCTGTCGACCATATGCGATTGGCACACGTGGAACAATTGCGAACAGAAACGAAGAACCTCACATCGCAAGGAAGGTTTTTACTGTAACAACTTTATACACTATCTGCTGGTTGCCTCAAGGCATATTAAAAATCGCCAGCCTTACAAATAGTAACATGTCACGTGAGATGTGGATGACGTCCACGTTCTGCATGCAGCTGAGTTCCGTGTTGAACCCTATCCTTTACGGATTGCTCAACAGAAAACTGAGGAAAACTATATTTGGGATGTTCAAGATAAAGGCTAAAATGCTGATTCACGTCGCTGCTACAGAAGTTTCCACCAGACGCCTTCAAATGAGGTCATTTAAAGGTGCTTTTACAGTCAGCCGCGTAGGCGCACAGGCTCCCTGAAGCTAATCTGTTTTTGGTCTAGACGTATAGTATCTGTCGGCTTTTGCTCTCTATAAGCGATCGCTAGCGATGAATTAAAAGATAGTTATGATTTTTCACAAAAACTAGCTCGGGGATATTGCCATCGCTAGTTTAAGCAAAATTTCAAAATCCTCGAAAACAAACCCAGAGTAGTTTCAAAAGGTAGGAAACCTTCAAAAGGTTAATTTTGTAGAACAGCGATCTAGAAATGCGAAAATAACTCGGAAGCAAGGAATAAAATCAATTCAGCTTATTCGATTGTTTTACGGATTTTCTGAAAGAATCACCGCTTTATTCACAAGTGCAGGCATGGGTACAACAACATACTCGATGTACATTAATAGCAGATATATGCTAAGACACACACACCTCACAAATTTCATAAATTATGTTATGGTATAGTTACGTTACTTCTTTAATTGTGTTGGTTTCTTATCATATTTAACTCCGAAAGGGAGCTACAGAATACGGAATATACGACATTTCAATAAATATCGCGCAATGCTTGGTGTGTTGTCAAAACCCCATAAGTTAAATGACGCAATAGTGGAATAATAAATTACAATTATACTGAAAAAGCGACACTAAGATTTTGTCATTTGAATTGGGTGCTAAATATCGTTTCGACATTCCTTTGTACGTCAAGAAATTGATTCTCATATAGCAACATCTATAGCCAAATATTTCAACCGAACATCTCTCAGTAGCTGAAGATATTAGGGATTTTAAGTAACCACAACGGCGACGCCGAGGACAACGTTATTAAAAAATGAATTTATATTTTACCCACGCATCTCGCGATACTCTAGAGCCATTTACTTTGTTTATCGCTGTCAAAACTATCACGAAACTAAACCTGGGATACAGCGATAAATTTGGAATAAAAATGTAAAAAATTAGCCGTTATGGTTCACGCTCTCGAGACAAGGCAGAATTTGGTCATTTCACGTTGTTGTTTTGCAGAGGACGGCAAAGATATGTGCCAAGAATTATAACGCACGTGCACAGCCATTGTCCTGCTCATTAAACCTTTTGTTTACAGACGGTCCCGTTGCCGTTGCAGTCGTGGTTTTCTTAAACTCCCTAATCACCTGGACACAAACCCCTTGTCAACAAACATTTCCCGTGTGGTCTAAAACTGGAATAATGTGCATGGATGATGTTAAAATGTTGTATTTCTCAAAAGAACATCAAGCGCTTCTTGGGACTTGATAACTCGTGGTATCTTAATCTGATTGGCTGCTGAAGGGTTGACACGGAGAAGATATTTTCTCAGTTCGCTAAAAGTTCCATCTTTCATCATGAATAGCTGAAGACATGAAATGCTTCCTTTTTGTCTGAACGAATTATAAACAGGACTGAACTCACAAAGCGCATTGTCGATCTAGAAATGAAAAATACAGCAAAAAAAATCAAACCCTAAACCACTACACGTACCCTATTACGTCACAAACCACGCGTGCCTGGAAACTTGGGTTGTTTATCATCTACTCGGAAAAACCGCTTGGTCGACAGTTGTAGTAAATGGGACGCGTCAAATCCCGAATGGAAATTTCCACGGGGATGCGTTCGTTCCATTTCAACGACTTTTTCCCGGAAGATAGGATCAAAGGCGATCCGAGCCAAAAGGCCTGGAACTAGTAAAAACTACAATCATGGACAAAAGTCTTGGGACAAATTTTCACTTTTCAGTTGGTGCTTTTGGGCACACGCCAGACGCGAATACAACTTCACCTGCCTAACCTCGGCCCCCACCCCCCATACGATGTTGAAAACTACTACCTGCATGCAATATCCTCTGATTTTCAACATTGTATTGGGCGGGGCGGGGGAAGAGCAACGCGTTTTTAAAAGGAAAGCAGCGCTTTTTTCAAACTTCAGTAGTAAAACACACATAATTCGTTAAATTACATAAGTGTCCCAAGGACGTTTGTCCACGATTGTAGCAAATGGAACGCACATTTTCACTTCGGAAATTCCGTTTGGGAATTTTGGTCCACCTTTCAAAAAATCCCGTTTTCCCGAGAAAATTTCCGCTCAGAGAAACAAAACTAATCTTTCATTTTACATTCCATCCGAAATTTCCGGATTTTTTAGGTAAATGGTAAACAACCTCGAACAAAACAGGCCATCACAAATAACCCTTGCACGTGCGTCATACAAGCTTCAGTACACAAATAACCAGG